AAAACTAACATGTTAAAGACCTGAGACTACAAAGTACCCATTACGATTAAATTATCTAGGTAGTATTCTAAAAAGTCACATAAAATAACATTTAAGTACTGTATTTTTTACGAAATACTGAGATTTTAGTAAGACACAACACTAACAAAGAGCAATATGCATTTATTCGTGGGTATGTGTATGCATTACACATGGTACAGTATGCATTATTTATGCATATACTGTATGATGCATAAACATTACAGATTCTACAACACACAATTCTTAATACACTTGTAGTAAACATTCAAATTTGGCAAAGCTCTCACAAGATATGAAATGGACTCTTTTTATTGCTGTGTAATGTTTCAGATTGACTCAACGATTCATTTAGAAGCGTCATTGTTTTGGAGCTTATGTTTCTGCAATTCTTAACGCTGACATTGGTAAGATGTTTCATATTTTCCAAGAGCATTGGGAAATATTTTCCTGACAATAGGCAGTTGTCAAGGACTAGTGTCCTCAAAGTTGTACATTTCAAAATATATGTGATTACTTCATCAGTTAAAGACAGACAAGAAGTTAGATTTAGGTATTCCAATTTCAATTTACTTACAATTTTACCTACATGATCGTCAGTCAGACTTTCACATCCTTTTAAGTTTAAATGTCTCAATTTTTGACATTTTGACAACTGCATTATACAATTCTCTGTTAAATGATCACACCATGAAAGTACCAACAGTTCAAGGTGACAAAATTGTAACATGTCTTCTAACCCATCAACTGATTTGTCAAAACAGCACCGAAGAATAAGTCGCTTAATGTTTGGGCAACATTTTTTGATACTCTTAGCTACAGCTTCATTTAAATAACCATAATAACTTAAATCAAGTTCTTGTAACTGAAAAAACTTCCCATTAAGGAAGAATCGCTCCATTTTGACTGAACTTGTACTTCCCAAGCCTAACAAGCACAAGGCCTTCAGATTCACTAAAGATCCAATTGAATTCAATTCTTCTTCAGACATACAATGTGTTCGTCGAGCATGTAATGTAAGAATTTTTAAACGAGAGCACTCACATAAAGAACAAATTGTTTTCACAGACAAATTGTTGCAATTTAACAATACTGCATTAAGTTGTTGTTTCTTTCTTTGCAATAAATATGCCAAATCTTGATCTGCGTGGTAAAAATGAACAAGATTTAAATACTCAAGTCCTTTACATCCATCTGCAATAGGTCTCAAAATGTTCATTTCATACCGGTGCTCACATCCATATATAGCAAGACGTTTTAAGCTGTTGCACTGACCAAGTAATTTCATACATTTTTCACCATTACTTTTATTCAATCCCAAACAAAGTGATTCGATGTTAGGAAAATGTTCAAGTAATTTTTTTAACAAAGGAGGTGACAGCATTGTACTGTTCCAAAACTCCAATTTTCGAATATCTTTACAATGCAGACATAGTGCTTCAACAATATCATATATATTAACTTCTGTTTCGGAAACAAATGATCTCAACATCGGAGACTTTTCTAAAATATTGATAATATCACTGTGTTCAGACCTGGGATTTGGAGAATAAGTAATATCTTTCCAAAGTTCTACATCTCTACTCACTTCAGCCCAACGTCGATTTACAAGTTGGGCAGATAATATTAAATCTTTAAAGCTTAAGTAAGAAAAAATCTCCACCAAGATTTCGTCCGGAAGATCGTTTATAGTTTTGCCTCCTGCCATGCCCAATAAAATTAATAGTTACACGTTAATACTATCATTGCATTACAGTACTCTCCATACATCGTAGGTAATAACTATCTTGAACTAGTTACAAATGTAAAATTGTATGTTTGCCACATGATGCACTTTTGTCATACTAAAATTAGTATTTTCTTGTAACAAAGACATCACTTCGTGATAACGAGACTGAATTATCATTCAGATTTTATTATCTTATCACATCACACTTAATCGCCGCAATTTTAACAGGCAGTTCGACATATCAGGATCATATGTTTCTACTTTCAAGTTTTCAAAGGCCATTCCTCTCCAAGACACGCAATAGTGATTTCACTTGTCAAACTCCTTGATCAACTGTGATGTTCTTTACAAGCACTTCCTCAGTGAAGTTCATAGTGATACGAGATCTACTTGAATTAACAGCTGTTGTTAATGTTAAATTGATAAATAACCACTGTGGCTATGATCCGGGACTAATAGCTACTTATTAAATGTATAGACACTACTATGTTAAACCTTGCGACCCGCGTTTACGGTTATTTCAGTCAATGCTCAGTACTGCTCTCGTAGGATTGGCGGTGTAACGTCGCCACTTGTGGGGGGACAGGATGGGCTTTGCGGTAATTTTGAATGTGATCTTGGGTGGGATTTCGACAAGTTGAGGATTTCCTCTCATCTCTAGGATATTTTTTCCGGCTTAATCGAAGGTTTGTGTTTTTGGTGTTTGCAGTTTGCACCCATTTCGCGTTTTACTGCTATGTGGGTTCTCGGTCTTTAACTAATGACCAAATTTGCTTTTGTGTTGCACTACGCCCTCAGAATATCGTAGGGAAGTGCTTGTCTTCTTTGTCCTCTATTGAGGACGTGTCTAGCTAATTGTTTTAGAGTTGCCGGAGCGTCGTTGGTTTTAAAGGCTTGATGGCGTCGTTAAACGAAAGCCGTCTCAAGCATTGAGTAAAAGACTCGATATCAATTTCCTTCTTCAGTACTTTCAACAGTTTCCGAAACGGAGGGCGTGCAATGAGTCGTAGAACTTTGTTCCGTACTAGCTCGAGTGTATCCTTGTACGTCAGTGCTGTGGTTCACCACGTTGGAGCAGCATAGGTGGCCACAGACCTGCAACACGTTTTATAGAGTGCCAAGCGAAGTTCCAAGGGGAGTGAAGGTTCCGTCAAAAGAGGTTATAAGAGTCGAACTCTTTGCTGTAATTTTGATCGAATTCTCCTGATATGTAAATGCCAGCGCACTCTTCGATCAAATGAGACGCCTAAATAAGTTGCCTTAGGCGCCCATGTCAGTTTTTGTGTGCCAAGTGTCATTTGTTGTGGTGGTGTAAAACGTTTTGTGTTTGCGGTGGGTGCAACAGATTGCCTGCGACTTTTTCGCTGAGAAAGTGGTTTTGTTCCGCCCACTTCAGTGTCAGGTACATCTTTTTTTTTTTTTTAGTATTTTCAATTTGTGGTCTAGGTTTATTTCTATTGTTAAGACGGCAATGTCATCAGTGTAAAGAAAAAGCCCTATTCGTGGTATATGTGGGATGTCATTGACATACAGTGAGGACAGTACCCTGAGGGACTCCGGCCGCAATCCTCCGCTTTGAGGATCTCGCTTTACGCGCATTGACCACGAATGCGCGGTTAACCATTTCGGTTACGTCTTGTGGAAGCAGCTCCTAAGTTTTGTGATGAATGAACTGTGTGGCACTCTGTCAAAGGGTAGCACCATGTCGAGATATATGTCAGGTAGAACCTGTGTAACATATCAGCGGAAATCTGCTGGGCCATACAAAGTGTTTGTAGTGAAGCGGGATGGCCCGGTCTGATCGCAAACTGTTAATCTCGGTTGAGGTTCCGCGAGAGAGCAGTAGACAGAATTCGTGTAAGTAGAAGCCTCTCGAATACCTTTCCCAAAATAGGAAGGAGTCTGATTGGCCTGTGGCTCGTAGCGATCGTGAGATCCTTACCGGGTTTTGGAAGCATGGAGATACTTGCGAATTTCCAATTTTCTGGAAAGTACCGCTGTGTACTGCAGCTGTTGTAGATTCGCGTTACGCTCCGTGCCTATGAACGGTAGGGCCTTCTTAAGAACGAGAGGACTTATCCGGTTAGGGCCCGGCGCCTCGCGACTACGCAAGCATTTAATTGTAGTCGAAACTTCTTCGACTATACAATGTGTAAGTGCATTAGCGCTGTCGTCTGTTTCCTCCTCATCTACCGCCTGTGTAGTGCTGTTAACAAACCTCTCTTCAACTATGTCGACAAAGAATTCTGCCTTTGCTTGATCTAAGAAGACGTATGTTTATTTACCCTCCGCATTGTCGTGTCCACGTATGGCGGTTACGGTATTAAATACTAGTCTGAAGGCCTTGGAGTTTAAAAAGGCTGTTTCGAGAATGGTCCGAACCGATCTCTCTCAACCGCGTTTCCCATTCTGCTGTGTTTTTCGCATTCCCGCAGCTGTGTTTTAAGCACAGAGCACTTACACTGCTACCAAAGTAGCCTAGCTTTGCGCTTGATGTCCTAGGATTGCAATCATATACAATAAAATTAGGTCAATTAATTATAATTCAATGGAATAAGGGGAAAATATTTAATTATTTGTAAAAGAAAAAATAAGCCAAATTACAATACAACTGGGCGTCCTTTGATGATGATAATAATAATAATAATAATAATAATAATAATAATAATAATAATAATAATAATAATAATAAATGAACGAGTGGTGCTACAGAATAGCACAGACGTTTTCGCACTAATTAGTTTCCTAATTTCTTCATTCGGGCTATCAATTCGGTTATGCCCTTGTTCTCAGTTGCCATCTATTGGTGCCTAAACATATTTTTCAATTTTCGTGATATCCAAAAATGGATTTGAAATACGACTTTAAGAATATTTTAGATGGGAAATACCTGGTCATGTATGCATATTTTCATTGAAAAGTTCAGAGCAGACTGTACAAAAATGTGTCAGCGTTTGTGAAAATGCGCATTTTGAAGATAATTTTCACCCTAAACTTTCGATTTTTCGAAAAACGTCATAAGAAATTATTTGAATTTTTTTACCAATGTAATAATGTGCAAGAAATTGTTGTAATGTAAATGTCGACATGGAAGATATGTCAAAAAAAGACTCACAGTTTTCGAATTATGATATATATTGGGGTAACTCTGAGTTTGTGGTAACAACAATTTCCAACATATCCTTTTGTGTTGGAACAATAATTGCCTACACGAAAAGAAAAAAAAATGTATTTCTTTGCTTGTGAAGGCCTTTCTTCACTATGGAAAATCTCACGACATTTCGCGTGTTTTTAGGCTGTGTCGCTAGATGTGTCATGATTGTGGCCGTATCGGGCAGTGATGGCGATGATACATGTGGAGATATCACATCACTCATCACCGAGAAAGACAGAATGCGGTGAGATAAAGACAGGCCCTCATACGCCAATAAATACAAACCCAAGTATAGTTGAGCATCATTGTGTTACCTACTCCAGCGCTGTGAGTGCAGCACTGAGTCAAGACGTAACTCTTGTCGCGTGATTTATTTTGTAGTTCTCTGGTTCCGTGTCGGCACCTGTGGCACCGGTTGGCGTGTTGTTTGGAGGCTGTGTATTTATCTTCTTTCTTCGAAAATGCAAATTGTTTTCTTGGGAACAGCGTCATGTTTTCCTACCCCACATCGTGGCGTCTCCTGCACCGGCCTTAGATTTGAAGGTATTTACTATTGACTCCACTGTTCCTATTAAGGAGTAAACGAAGTGACAGCGAAATATTTCACGTTTTGGTCACGGCTTAAAACTATTCAAGTAGATTGTCATCAATTCAGAATATATTATTCCATCACCAGGGCTGATTACACTGAAAAACACATTATTAAAGTTACATTTACTCATTGGGGGTTAAAAAACAAAAAAAAAACAAAAAACCCTCTAAATTTTCTATGGTTACTCTTAGATGAGAAGATTTTGAACTCGGAAAAAAACTTTACTGCCCAACGAGAGGGTACCTCAGGGTACAGAATATGGTTATCTATTAATGAATTTGTTTATGAACGAATTGTGTGAATGAATTTGTTTATGAACGGCCATTAGAATATAAATTGCATTGTCTTTTTCTCTTTTGGTTCACAATTTTTTTCTCTAGATTTTCTTTTTCCAATTGAAATCGCAATTAAAAGTTATTTTTTATCCATTAGTAACAGTGGCCGAAGTGCATGTACTTGCAAACCTAAAAACTCTCAATAAATACTCTGATAAATACATAAAACAGAAAACCTGCTGAGGATGGCCTCTGTTTTATGTATTTATCCGACCGTGTTGTGAACATTTGTTGTTGAACCATGTTTCTGGGGCTGTAAGTATTTTTAATTTTATGTATTTATTTCATTTTATTTGTTAATTTTTTTTTCAAATAAGTTTCTGTATTTCTTTTGGCTCCCTTGATGTTAATTTTTCAATTTTCCTTCTTGCTAGAGACCCACTGAAGATTGGAAAAGTGTTTTCCGAAAGTTGACTGTGGGAATGTGATTATTGACTTTGATTGTGGACGATTATTTCCTTTCTCACATTATGGATTACCATAAGATATCTACTACCACCATGGAATTTAACTCTCTCTAACGTAATTTGTTTCAGTGGTTCTGAAGGGAGGTTCGGTTTGATAGAGTAAAAATCACCCATGCTAGATAATACAGGCTCCAAGGACTCAGTTTCTTGAATGTTTCCACTTACCCTTGTAAAACAAGGGGGAAAATAAAACAAAAACAAAAACAAAAAAAAACAGACACACACAATAATTTATTCTAACTTTTGCAATATTGTAATTATTTGAAAGATAAATATACAGCAAAGGATTTCCATTTAAACTTTTGAAAAAATAAAGATATTTATTTTTACTTTTTATCTCTTCACTATTGCATATGGGGAGATCTGTATGATTGACTGATGCTCGAGTGATAACAGTGGCAGCTTATAAGATGAAACTTGGCAAACTCAGGTCTAGATGTGCCTTTCTGGGGATAATTAAGATATTTTATTTTAGTGGGTACTTCACATGAAGTCCCTAAATGTCATGTTCAAAATATTCTGAAAAATGAGTGCAACTTTTTTTCTTTATTTTTTGTGCTCGAATAGAGGAACATGCATTTATAAAAATGGTATATTTCGCATTTTTATTAAAAGCTCTGAAATTTTGAAAATTATAATTTCAAATTTGGTTTCGAACATGTACTACATCTCCGATCTTAAATTGGCAGAATGTAGCTGAGAGCGGGAAGTCCCAGGGTTCGAGACCCGACGGTAGCGGATTTTCCTCACCACCTAGAAAACTAATATCTGTATGTATGTGTTTGACATTTAAAGAAGGATTTATCTGACTTGTGCCAGCTAGCGGTGTTTCCAGACCGAAGCCCTGCTTATATTGATTATTCACGCCTGCAGGCTGTAACCGTACGCAGGACCCCAGTCCAATAAACTTTCGCAAATAAACATTTTTATCTAGAAAAATAATGTTTTTAGTAAATAAGTCGGTAGAAGAAGAAGAAACAAGTGACAGAGTGAACGCGGAACCGAATTTGAAATTCTTGTTGTATAACAGGAAAATTTTCGAATTAGAAAACAAGCTTTAGGAAAAATAAACAATTTTAAGAATCATCCGGAAGCAATTCGAAAGCGGGTACAAAAATTTAGAAGAAACACTTGGGGCAGAAAGATACATACCTGTAAGAACAATTGAATATAGACAACTGATGTAAGTAGCTTTCAAAACAAGTTGGAATTTCGGCAAAGCTGGTAAACCAGAGGGCAATGGACTTTGGGGAACGTTACGAATTCAAAAGCAAAATTTTCAGAAAAAGTGCCAGATCAGAATAAATTTGACGAAAATATAAATTGGTCGAAAAGATCTCGGTGACAGAGGAAAGCGAGCAATGTTGTTTTGTTGAAAACACAATCGAAAGACTAGACTGATTGACAGGAACACGGAGGGATGATAGATCCGAGCCTACATGTGCTGGCAAGTTTACGTGATTTGGGAGTGAATTTTTATCAGAGAGAAAGGGTATTGGGAGTATGCGTTGACAGTAATAATTAGATAATTGTTGGGCCTGAAATACGGCATTTAGTAGGTTGCGTAGAATCGCATAGAATTTGTAGAAATATGGAAACGGCGAGCCCAGCTGATGGAACTCTTATGGTGAAATGGTAGGTGGAACGGACTCGCAAGCCGATGACAACGCTATCACATTCAGGGAAGTGGACATTCTACCGACATTACCCGTGGAACGAAAAACATTTATAAGAATGCCAAGTATTGTAAATTTAGTAAACCTTGAAAGAACGTAGATATGACGTGCTCGGTATGAATGAGAATTGTGTAGATATTTTGTTATGAAGCGTGAATTTTGAATTTAGATTTTTTTGTTATTATATTAAAGGGTTTCTTGCTTTTGGGTAATTATTTTATTGCCAGCGTCAAAGAGTAAAGAGGCGACGGCGCAATTAACGTCGCCGAATAAACATACAGTACCACTGAGCCTGGTACTGAATATACATTTGAATAATGTCTAAGTCTCTTCTTGGTTTTTATATAAAGAAAGTTATTTTCCATTGTCAATAAGATAATGAGAAGTATAATTTTCCCTTTCCTGTACTGGAGGGAACGAACTTCAGTCCCACGGACCAATATTCCAGTGACAATGCAGCTCGTGCCGGAAAGATTATTATTTTAACATTTTTACAAAGTTAGGGTATCAGGCAAATACATAATAGATGTAAGGACAAAATTGTAATAAAGAAAAGGCACGACGAGACGGTCACAGGGTTAAAGCGAAGTTACTGGCAACAATAACATTTTTGAGATTGGAGATTTTAACTTTTTTACCCAAAATTACTTTAACAATTAAAACATGACTTTAAGTAATTATTTTATTGAAATTTTAAATTTAAAAATTGAAAGTAGAAAATATGGTACAATTATAGTATGGTATGGTATTTATAGTACAATCCCTCGGACGTTTGATCTCAGTATTAAGCATGAATTCCGGCCTGTCTTCCTTCAACAGTGTTCTGATATACTCTTGCCATTGTTTATTTGGAATACTTTCCCGTATACGTATACGTACGTACATACCGTATACGTACGTACGTACGTACGTACATACGGAGTAAGTAAGTACGTACATACGGAGTAAGTACGTACATACGGTACATACCGTATACGTACGTACATACGGAGTAATATACCTACCATAGGGAAAGTTATGTAATGCTGCGGAAATCGATTTCGACATTTCAACGGAAATACACGTTTTAGATACCGAAAAAGTGTTTTTTTCTTTGTTTCAAAACGTCCGTCCATCTGTCCATCTGTTGTATGTGAACAACACTAGCGCCTAAACCATGCGTAGGATTTTTTTCCAAATTGAAGAAACCTTTGTCCATTTGGCCTGAGTCGAAGCTCTGGGATTTGAAAACCATTCTTTAGTTTTTGGGAGTACTTTATATGAAGTCTCTGATACATTTTCAAAATTTTCTCAAAAACGGCTCCATATTTTTTCTTTAAATTTCTTATAAGAATGGAGTAACACAGACTTATAAAAGTGGCATAGGTCCGATTTTCACGTTTAAGTCTGAATTTCCGAAAATTTTAAAAGTATGATTTTTTTCGGAAACCACAAAATTGAAGATAAAAGTTTTTCCTTAAAAAAATAAATTTGTTGTCCATAATTGTTCTTTCATTAAAGTCAAGTAAATTTTTTTCGAAAGTTTAAGTAGTTTCCACGTAATATTGCGTGCAATATATGTAATTTAAAAAATTTTAAAAACAATATTTTCTCAAACTGCTCCAATTTCTTCTTTAAACTTTTGTTAAGGATAGTGCTAAATGTATTCTATAAAATAACAAGCGCCATATTACTTTTTCTTTTGTTTTTGTTTTTGTTTCTCCAAAAATTACAAAAATGTGATTTTTTTGTTTTTTCTCTCGTGACGTTAATATTTATAGTAATGGAAATTTGTTCACATTATTGTACTTATGAGTATATGTGCTTTAAATAATTTCTAATTATAATAAAGTTTCTCGAAAACTCAATAGTTTTCTGTGAAAACTAGCTTAAAATTCCGCATTTTCAGAAACGCCTAAAAGCCATTTTCTCGAAAACTGCTTCAAATTTATTCTTCAAACATTTCCAACAGATAGTGCTAATTGCACTCTCTAATATGACATTCTTTTAATTTCGGGATATTTTTTTTAATTGCACAAATGTAATTTCTCACGCCGTTGATATGCTGATTTCCAGCAATTTGTTAACCCTGTTGTATTTGTGAGTTAAGTTACTTAAAAATACTTCAAATAAAGTTTTTCGGAATCTCAAAAAATTTCTGTGAAAAAGAGGTACAAATTTTTAATTTACAGTAGCGCTTATTCGCCAGTTTTGTGAAAACGGCTCCAAATTTTTCAAAGAAACTTGCCTGTGCTGTTTTCCTGTTCTTTAATATTCTTAAAATAATATTTCCGCTGTACTATTAGGAAACCGAAAAATTAATAAAATGCCAACAAATGTACTTTAGGTGGCAATAGATGACAGCTGGCATGAGTATGTGGCAAGTCCGGGTAGCTAGCCGAGACCAAAAGAAATAGAAAATTAGTACGGGAAAGTCTGTGCTATTCTGTAGCATCACTGGTTTTCACCTCTGTACATTTCTGTTTCCTTACATTTCCTTTCACAAGACTGTGGTTTTTTCTTCCTTATCAGATTTCTTATTCTTCTCCGCTGGATTTTGTAATTGTCTTTGTCTTCATAAGTGCTTAACAATTTTCAAATATGTGATCCTTTACTTTAATCTCTTTATTAATCCAGTATTTAATCTTTTTGCCTAAAATTAACATTTCGGTTTCAACTTCAAGTGGCCACGACATCAGCCAAATTGATATTCCCTGATCAATTATAGCATAGTTTCATTTACCTGAACAGAAAGCCGTGAAAACATGACAATTGCTATGTAATTGATCACATCACGACACTATTGTGTTAATTGACTCAAAATTACTTATTCTTCTGTAACAGATGGCTCCACATGGTTGTTCGATTGTGGAGAAGGCTCTCAAATTAAGTTGCAACAAAGTGTGCTGAAAATCGGCAAATTGACGAAGATCTTCATTACACACTTGCATGGTGATCACGTAAGTTTTGTGTGAGTGGTCTTGCATGCGCCTTGATCAGAATTGTCATTGCATTACAGCCAATGCCAGTTGTTTGGTTTGCCAGGCTTGGTGTGTACTATTGGTGGTCATTGTCCTGATCGGCCAAATTTTGTCCTGGAGATTTATGGACCACTGGGACTTCGCAAATTTCTTAGACAAGCTTTGAGTCTTTCTAGATCACCGTTACCATTTTCTTATGTTGTAAGTTTTTATGAAGTGGCTCCATTTGCGTTTTTGTGCGAGTGAAAATAGTGGAAAATTAAAATGTACCTAACATTTTTATAGGTCCATGAATTAGTACCAGTCGAAAAACAATATCCAGAGGATTGGACAACATGGGAAGTGAACCACCTATGTAATGATTCAAAACATCCACAAGAAATAATTGGTCGTGATATTTCTTCACAAAAGGATGTATGGGATGTGTAAGTTTCAGTGAAGTATCATCTACTAGTGTTCAGGAGTGCATATGGGCGCACAAGACTCCATTGTTGGTTGGCAATTTCTTTCTTTTCCTTTTTCTTCTTCCTTTTCTTTTTATTTTTCTTGTCATTCCTTTTTCTTTCTTTTTCCTCCTTTTTCTTTCTTTCTTTCTTTCTTTCTTTTTCTTTCTTCCTTTTTCTTCTTCTTTTTTTTCTTTCTTTTCCTTTTTTCTTTTTCTTTTTTTCTTTTCTTCTTTTTTCCTTTTTCTTTCTTCCTTTTTCTATCTTTTTCTTTCTTTTCTTTTCTTTCTTTCTTTCTTTCTTTTCTTTCTTTCTTTTCTTTCTTTCTTTTCTTTTCTTTCTTTTCTTTTCTTTCTTTTCTTTCCTTTCTTTTCTTTCTTTTCTTTTCTTTCTTTTCTTTCCTTTCTTTTCTTTCTTTCTTTTCTTTCTTTTTGTCTCTCTCTACTTTCATTTTCAATAGAATTTTTCTCAAAACTCAAAATTTTTCTCTCTAAATTGTGTATTATTAGAAATGCTAAAATTACATTTTCTCAAAAACGGTTCTATTTTTTCTTTAAACTTTTTATATGGATAGTATCCTGCTTATTACACTGAATGACATGGCATAGTATAAGGCAATTTGATGTGTTCTTTTGATTTTGCAAAAACTACACAATAGTCTTTTTTTTTTAAATATCTCACATTGTTAATATTTACATTTCAGCTATTTTCTATACTTTATTGCATTTGTGAATACAAGTGATTACAGGTGAATAATTAGGAGTGCTATTCAAATAGAAATCCTTGTAGAGGGTAAGTTAGGGAGATTGATGATTTTGATGCATTAAATGGAAGTTTCATGCAACACTATCATCTCAAAATAAATATATATTGAAAATTTTCACGATAGCTTTGATATTGTCGACAATGATTTTGTGCAGTTCATAGACAAAATGGTATTGTAAGTAGATATTCTTGTTACAGCTGCCCATATTATAGTCACTGTAATACTCGTCATAAAATGAGGTACTCACTTGTTAAAAAATGACAAAGTGTGACAATCAGTGGCTTCTCAGAGTCATATATCTCACAGAACTGGTAAGAGAGGCTGGTGATTACTGAGCAGAATCTTGGGAGAATGCAATGTTAGAACCTTATATCCATGTATTGGTAAATGTTGATGTTAAAAAAGAAAGTGAAGAATTACATTTTTTAACTGTGATAGATTAAATGTTAGCGGGATGAAATGCGAAACATTTTAATATTACTTGTTCAATATCTATTGTAGGAGAAAGAAGAGCTATTATAGCCCCACTCGTTTTTGTACTTGTTTGTCAGTTCTTAAAAATTTATAAGAACAATTCTATGATGAAGATACACATCTTGTAAACGGTTTGTTTTTCAGGTTTTCTGATGAACATGTAAGTGTCAAAGCTGGGCCCGTTCTTCATCGAGTACCATGCTTTGGATATGTAGTGTCTGAAAAAGACAAACCTGGAGCTTTGTTAGTCAACAAGCTAGAAAAGTTAGGAATTCTTCCAGGACCAATGTATGGGCAGCTGAAGAAAGGAAAATCAATAAAAACAGCGAGTGGAGAAGTAGTATCCTTTCCTGTCATATTGTTTCTTAAAATTGTTGCCATACGCAGGCAGAAGATTTGCCTGACTTACTAGACTGTGACCTGAAATGTTTTAATTTAAAAGGCTCAACATTTTTATCAAGTGCCTAGAATATTGTTGCCAACTTCTGATGAAGTAATTTATAGTGAACGTGTGTGAGTTTCTAATAATAAAAAATACATATCTTTTCAAATATACAAGTGCTGTTAACTAAACTTAAAATCCACCTTAACTCTACATACAAGAAAAGTGTTCCTGAAATAAAAACATTAAAAACAACCAAACAAAGAAGCATACATACATTACATTATACAAAACACTTAACATATCTTCTATCCACAAGGAAATTGCATGTTACAATTTCTTAATAGGGCTATGAACTTTGAGATTGGCTCTTGAACTTATTCACTTAGCATGGTTTTGTGATCATTTCCCACTGGATTGTGAGTGATGGTTCCGGTTTGAGGTGGGCTTTTGGGCTATTGTGGTGTGATATTTGGGGAACTGTGGGCCCTTTTGGCGCCCATAGATGGCAGCTGGGAAGTATTGGGGCAAAACCGACATGATAGCCCTGATACAAGGAAAAGAAGACATAACTTGTACAGGAAAATGTGCAATTTCAGAGCTCCACCAGTTCACAAATAATATTATTGGATGCTTGTGTATATTTGAGGTAGTCACATCCAAGGAAGTTCACCGAAAGAAAGCTAGGTTCTTGGGGTAGAGGATCTACGGGGGTCTCTTATTTCAAACGAAAATCCCCCTCTCCAATATATAAACAGAATTAATGTCTCTATGCAACAAAAAAATCTCTAATATTTTATTGATTATCAAGTGTTTGGTTAACATATATAATGTTAAATATTAGCATGTCTCATAAAAGGGATTATTATTTTTTACTAACTCATAAATCTTTTGTGCCTGTCTATTGTATGCCACTAGTTTATTTTAATAGCTTATCTATTTACTTTGATCAAAGGGATTTCAAATTAATTTATTTGAAGGATGTGACTTAATATTTAAAGTGAAATTGTGATTGTTGTGGTTAGTTATGTGCATTTTATGGGCATACCTCTAACCTCTTAAGACCTTGTTTTAAGCAAAGCAACATTACCTCTCCAGAGAAATGCAAAAGGAGTGGAGGCAAAAATACATCACTCCTGTGGGGATAACATCAGGGATTTTCTCGTTGCTCTGCGAACGCTCCATGTTAAGAAATTGTTACATGACATTATGTACATGAAATGATTACATTATTCCCAGGTTGACCAATTTCCTGAAAAAGAAGGCAAAAAATACAATGTCCCGTTGCTTTTCAACAAATTTTCTTTTTTCCTGTTTTTCCTTGACAAAGTTCATATTGAACCTTCAGAAGTATTGGGACCTTCAAAGAAAGGAAGAAAAATTACAATTTTAGGTGATACTCACAATCCATCATACATGACTGAACTTGCTGTGTAAGTAGCACCACTCATTATAAATGGAATAATCATGTTTAGTTAATGGAATAATCATGTAGAGTCTTGCCACATAAAATAAGGCATTAATTCAATTCAGTTAGTTAATACATAGTGGGACAACTAAAACTGTCAGTGACAATGATAGAGACACTCAATGTTTGATGGGGGAATCCCCCTAACCCGGCTCACCCCCCACTCTTCAGGGTGTGTAGTGTAATGTGTAATAGGTGCCAAGGAACAATCTTGCCAAATTTGAATTTTTGCCTTCGATCACCAGTTTTGGGTCTAATTTGACTGGGCTGTAAGACCGAGATGAGTCTATGGACTATCTGGGTGTGGTATTTGGGGATTGCGAGAAATCCCTTCACTGAGCATCGTCCTCAGCTAAGCAGAAGTTACCATATGACTCCCTGTGAGGATCCACAATTAATAGCTCTTGGAAAGGTTGGGGCAAAACAGTGAAAGTTTTCGCATCTCGAAACAAGGGCACTAACTATTACAAGAAAGTCTTGCCATTCTGTAGCACTGCTAGTTTTCTTTTGTTCCCCCTCCTCTTCCTCCCAAATAAGTCTATTGTTCTCGATTTGAATCCCAGTCTGAATATTAGTATTCTCAATTTGATATTTGTATTAAGTTGAATGTATTTGCCCTCAATTTGGAGTTGAAAAAGTAGATTCTATGAAGCATTAACCATGGTATCTAAAACTGTAAACTATATTTTCTTGCATCTTCCTGCTAGAGCTGTAAAAATGCTTTCATGCACTTGTATACTTACTCTATGTGGCTCAGCAAGTATTTTCTCAATTCATGTATTTAGTGATTGTATAACAGTTGGTTTTTATTTTACAAATTTTGGGTCAAATCAAGCTTTATCCTTACAGGAACAGTGATGTTTTGATTCATGAAGCAACTATGGAAGATGCTTTGAAAGAGAAAGCCATAACTTTTGGGCATTCAACACCTTCTATGGCTGCGCATTTTGCTCAAAGCATCTGTGCTAGAAAATTGATTTTGTATCACTTTAGCCAAAGATTTAGAGGGAATGAAAAAGAAGATACAGAGGCAAGTTGTCAATATTTTAAAATTTCTGTGCACTTCTTTGTTTTTGTAATGTCTAAAAGAATGTTTTTAATGTTTAATCTTTTATGGTCAGAATCCTCATGTGAAGATCTTACATGATGAAGCTGTGTGTGCCCTAGGTGACCAAACAACTTGCGATGTTATCATAGCTGAAGATTTACTTTCAATTTCTATTCCCCATACATAAGCAAGTAAATATTAAAAATATTTTGTGAGAAATGATGCAAAATAAAATGAAATAAAGATTCCACTCATTTAATGTTTTTTAAGTAACTATTGACAAAACTGGCAGGTGATGGATTAGAAAAGATATAAAACTAATTTTAATTGTAAAAAATTGAACAATTGTGTAGCTATTTCTGATTGTAAATATTAATAATATTTTATGAGAAATTGTTCAAAATAAAATGAAATAAAGTTTCCTTTCATTTGTTTTCTTTAGATAACTAATTATTAACAATAGTGGCAAGTATTGCCTTACAAAGATATAACACTAATTTTAACCGCAAAAAATTGAACAATTATTATGTAACTAAATCTGCAATTGAAAACCAAAATTATTAAAAACACTATTAGCAATGAGTTGTTTACATTTTTTTATTGATTGTTATCAAGAAAATGCAAGGGTGCATTCTGGATTTGTTCAAAAGACAAAGCATTTTCCTTTTTTAAGAAATCAGTACATAATTTTAATATATAATAGAAATTACATTAATTACTAATCCATATAAAACAATACAATAAACAGATGCCTTACAAACAATCAATAAACAGTTGCCCAATACAAATGCCCTCTGGCAAAGAATTACTGAGATTTCATTTTTGTAAAGGTTGTCAAACTCTAGTGGAAAACAAATTATAAAACACAGCTAAAATAAGTTAACGGGGAGAGAATTATTATTTGTAGTAGAGAAGAATTATTTGAATGGTTTAAAACAACTTCCTGTTTATTCAGATAAATTGTTTAACAGGGTTGTACTTCTAGTTTTTTTTGTGAAGGACAAATCGACTACCTAATTTACTTATTCCAGCTGAGTTTGCTCAGAGCCAGCATTATCGTTGTCTCTGTAGCGTCTCTTGACTGGGAGGTCCTGGGTTGGAGTTCCGACTGCCGAATTTTCTATAAGTTGAATTCAGCGGCTTTGTGGAGGAAATTTCTAGCGATCAGCTGCTCTAATCGGTAGTTTTTCCTAGTTTCTAAGACGAATACCTGCTGAACGCCGGAGCACTACCCTAACAAACAGGCTACGAACCGCTTGCTGTTTCCGTGTCCTATCGTCTCTTCCTTCGCACAGTTACTCTTGTGTATCTGTTGCAAAGGTATTAATCTGAAACTTATCTACTTCAAATCTTAACCTAATGTTCTTCAATTAATCAGAACCATGGTCAATCAGCGTTTGGATTGCAGGGCACAAATCTGCCCACTCCTGTCCATGATTGGAAGATATCAGTCAACTCTGGACCATCTCGTATTCGGTCGCCTTGAGGCAACAACTTGAAGCCGAACTTTTTTACATAAAAAAGGCCTACGACACCACTTGGAGGTTCGGCATTTTGGAAACCCGTCACTCTTGGGGACTGAGGAGAACGATTCTCCTATTCCTCCAAAAATATTATCTTGATCAGATTCTTCCGTGTTCGCGATGGTGATAACCTGCCTAGCAGTTTCCCTCTTGAAAACGGCATTTCCCAAGGGTCGGTACTGAGTGTCATTTTTTGCATTGCCAAAATGGAATAGCTTGGGTCAAGTGAGTTAAAGGTATTGTTTGTGGATAATTTTGCGATCTTTTATTCAGCCAGCAGCATCAGTGCAATTCAAAGGCAGCTTCGAATGGTCCTTCATAAACTACACGAATCTCGACTGGCTTGAACTTTTCCAGTACGAAATTACGGGTGTGCGGGATATACTACATGCATAATGTTTTTAATTTCTTCCATGGGGCTCTGTTTCCGCTCCCTGAATCTGATTTCTCTGGCTGACGATTGATAAAATTCTTACGTGTCGTGCTCAGATAAGGAACCTGCAAACCAGACTGTCTTCCTCAAACTTACGTATTGTGAGTGGTCCCTCAAAGGGAGCCGATTGCATTAGTCCACTGCGGTTTTATATATGTAAATAAAACCGTAATAGACTAATGCGATCGACTAGAGCACTTATCCGCTGAATTCCGTGTTATGGCAGTTTTGTATATGGATCCGCGGTTTCCTCCACTCTGAGAATCCTTAATAATACCCACCACATCGGCATCAATTTGTTTATATTTCCAATGGTGTATATCGTACTGCCTTGTAGTTGGCGCCTGTGAGCTAATCCTCATTCGAATATGGGAAATCCTGTTAGGGTGTTGTGTTGCTAATATTTGGGGTATGTCGAATCATCCATCCCGCCAAACTAAATTCATCCCAGATATCAGAGCACACGTGCCCTTCTCTGAACATCGCTTCCCCCAGTTTGTTATTCGGTTTCGTAACATAACTTATAGAAACATAACATACGTTCTTATTGACTAGTAAATACGAAAACTCAAAAGTCTCAGAAAAATATGAAACTCTACCTAAAATTAAAGATAATTTTATGCTCTACGGAAAAATGGATAAAAAAGCTCTAGCCCATATTTTCTTACTTCGTGAGTGTACAAAGACAAACGTTCTTATGAATTAAAACCACATGAAAACTCAAAAGCCTAAAACAAATATGAAACCCCATAATTAAAGGCTAATTTTAGACTAGGAATACATGTTTTCAAAATTTTAAGAAACAATATAAAAACCTCTGAAAAACTATAAAATCTGGAAAAAGTTCCAGTTCATATTTTCGATAAATCAGGACTATACAAAGACTAATATGTACGAAAACTCGAAAGCCTAAGAAAAATTGCGAAACCTTACCCAAAATAAATACTCATTAAAGCCGCAAGGAAAATATATTGCTGTCTTTGTATTCTATAATTCACGTTTGTACAATTTGAAACGAGTAACCTGTTTTCTTATTGGCTAATACACACGAAAACTAAGAAAAGTCTGAAAAAAATATATCTCGTCAAAATAAAAGGCTAATTAGAGGGTCTCGAAAAAAAAAAGTTCCACACCATTTTTTTCGAAAATCAGGGCTATACAAAGAAAAATATGTTGTGTACCTTTGTAGGTCATTATTTCATTGTGAGAGTTACTGAAAACAGTTATCTTTTCGAGAAAACACGTGAATGTGAAGTTGATGTTAGCGAAGCCAATATAAAGAAATAAAGATTAACTGGTGCCATTTTCCCCCTAGAGTCTAAAATTAACCTTTATTTTTGGATATGGTTTCCTATTTTTTTCAAATTCTATTGAGTTTTCGCGTACATTAGTCTTTAATAACGAATTGTTACGGTTTCCCCATTGTGCAGCCCTGATTTTTGGAAAGTATGGACTGTAAAAGTTTTCCTCCTGGAGTTTAAATCTGGGTAGGGTTTCATATTTTTTCAGACTTGAGTTTTCTTGTGTATTAGCCTAAAGAACGTACGGTATTTGTTTGATTTTGAAAAATATGGGCTGGACTAGAGCCTTTAATTTTGGATGTACTTTGGTTGTCTCGTAATGATGGGAAATTGTACAAGTACTTCTATTTTTTAGGTGGGCGCTGCTTTGTTTAGACTAAAGCCAGCTGCGCCCACGATTTTGGGAAATGATCAAGAGTCAGAATTCGGCAATAGAGTCCTTAATTAGCCTTTAATTTGGGATATGGTTTGGTTGAGTTTGTTTTTGGGCGCTGCTAGCTTTAGATGGCTCCCTCATCTGTCACAGGAAGCAAACTCCTGCGGGTCCCTCCCACAACAACTTCGCAGGGAGATGGGCGTCGCGGATCCAAATGACCTTGAGGCTTGCATTCGAATTGTACCAAACGTTACTTTTACATATTTAGTTGTTGAGATAGTATGTGTAATTAGGAGTAAAACGTGCTCTGCAAGTTCCGACCTTTGAGTCCTCGCAACCAAGTAATAAACCTGTGGGTGAGTGTTTTGAGGCGAGCGGAGCAGCGAATCACGGAGAGCACTGTATTTGTCCGCGGGCGGGAAGGAGAGGGGGGTGGGGGGAGTTGGGAGGTCGTTCACGGCAGCGGAAGGCGCCTCTGCCGGCAGCGACCGTTTCGCGACGCAACGGGGGCGATGCGCGTTTGTTGTGCGACGAGTGGGGGCGGGGCGGGGCGGGGGCGCAAGATTGATGGTGCGCGGCGGAGGGGGCAGCAGCGGTGCGATCGCGATGTGGCGCGGCGCCTCAGTCGCCCTTTGTGCGGTCGCAGGTGGATCGCCTCGCCGCCGCCGCCGCCGCCTTCGGATTGTGCTGCGGCGGTGACAGGCGGGGCGATGCGCCGCGCGGCCCGCATTTATCACCGCGCGCCGCCTCAGATTGACGCGTCATTACCACCGACGATCGCGACCCTCGGCGCCGTGTTTACGCACGCTTTATCCGCCGCGCGGCCTCTTCGGGAGGTGGTTTTGCATTAGTCTATAGCGACCTGCGACGCGCCGATGCCCCGGAAAGGCCGGATCCCTTTCAATGCCAGAAGTTAGGCAGATTTATGATAGTCTGATTTATGTAGCTGTCTTAAGGTTTCTCTTAATTTGAGACAATCAGTACAATTAGCGTCTGAACATTATTTATTACTCATCTCGATGGCTTGTATTTCACGTTTCGAGAGGCGGATTAGACACACGAAGCACCGAATACAAACCATACAGATGAGTAATAAGTAAGGTACATACACTGAATGTATTGACTGACTCAAATTAAGAGGAACCTAAACATGCTGTATACAATTCAAACCATGAATCAATTGTTCCTAATAGCACATTCGAATACAAATTCCTTCTGAGTTTAGGAGCTACTCACTTCAGAATTCCACAACATTCGATTTTGGGAAAGGCCTTACTTCAATTTCTATTGAAACTCCTAGCACGAGTGCTGAATGCACGAAGGACGTAATAGTTCCAGGTATAATATTTCAGAATATATCAAGTTGTGTTTTAATGTAAATGCTAACAATAAATAAGTTAAAAACATTATATATTCGAAAAATAATAAATATTCTTTGCCAATGCATCAGCAATCATTTGTGCATTGTTTTGTTTACTTCACGTTGCCATGATAATCGTCCTCTAAAATTCATTCTTGACCTAGGCCGACAAAGTTCACTTTTGTGGCGAACAAATACTCTGTCAAATACAGGTTTTGAAGTGAGAATACGAAAAAATGATTTTCGATTGAGCAGCAAACCATTTATGCACGTTTCGAATCCTATATGAGAGAGGCAAATCTTCGGGCTCGAAAGGCAACTACAAGTGAGCAAAAACAGATAATGGTAGACATGACTAAAACTCTATCCAGGATGCTCTAAACCTCCAAATACGAGTACAAATTTAGAAGAGGTTGTGTGGCGGTATCTGCATGCGCGTTGTCGTTCAACAAACTAATGTCTTTCGACAATCCATCTTGGCACTATTATTTGTAGAAACTGACTAACGTGCATATGACTTGCCACTTTACTAATAGTCTTTCGTCTTTATTTAGAACGAACTTCCTCGCACAGTAGTGATCGAAGGT